GGGGCTGAACAGTAGCCTGACTAGCTCCATATGCTGTATGAAGCTTCAAAACAATTCCTACTACACTGGGAAGTCAACAGTTCAATACAAAACATTCAATCGCTGATTTCTGAACGATGCAACACCCAACAGAACGTAAGGAGAGTTCTCGAATTGCCAAGTGTTTTATCTAGTCGATTCTAGCTAGTATGAACAGCTTATGCTGACGGATTCGGATCCGTAGTAAGTCGTGCTCAGTTGGATATATTGTAAAGTATCGGGGAAGCATGTCGAGTGGGTTGGGTTGTTGGAAAAACGGTGGCCCAATTGTCCACAATCAGGATGTCAGCTTACACAAAGCCATAGGTGTTCGAAAAAACGACTGAAAACAGCTGATTAATGGCGCTTTCAAACAAGAACTTTCGAACTATCCACTTTTGCATAGACACACTTATATGCCCGTGAATGGATTACTTTTTATGTCAACCAGAACTACAGCCATGTAGCTTGAGATGTTAAATCAGGAGAAAGCGGTTAAATTTCAGAAAATGGCAAGCTCCGGTGAACATGTCTTCACAGTCAACATTCATGATCAACAGAGTAAACTGGCAATATGTATGATGTTAGTGTAGCTATATTTTCTTGGCAAATTTTATTCATAGATTATGAAACGGAAGATCACGCTCTGCAAACCTATACATAAGGCGGAAAGACGCTGGAATCTAGACGCACAGCTGAGCGTGCAGCAATCACTGCTTCCTAGTTACTCCGAAATAACCGAGATATGATGGGTCAACCCAACAAATATATTGCCCTGCTTTGAGGCGGGAGTATGGTCCCGCTGAGTCATCCCGGCTAACTTGCATATGATCCGTGTCAGGGGCAGAGATGCCTCAGTCCGGGAGTATGGTCCCGCTGAGTCATCCCGGGTTGGCTAACTTGCATATGATCCGTGTTAGGGGCAGAGATGCCTCAGTTAAAGCTAGCTTCAACACTGCGAAATAACAAGGTGGAAATTTTAATGGGGTGTGGAAGTTGCAGCTGTAAATCGGCGGTTTTTTTTAATATTCATCGTGAATCCGAGTACACGGAGCACGCGACATCTGGCAGCTACACATATCCGCCATTCCCATGGCAGTGATTGGCTCAACTTAGCTCAGCACCGTAGACAAAGGAAACAGAACTCGACTAAGTTATTTGAACATATGCTTGTTAATACTCATTGAAACGGGCCTTTTCAGGTAGACAAATGCAACGCAGGAACTATCCTTGGGGCTGGTGCTAAAAGTGTAGTAACTACAGAGCCTAGTAAGTGGTCTGCTCCAAGTGATATATTGTTCACCAGTTTGAATCATTCCTGTCTAGTATAACTTTTCGAGTCTATGAAATTGGAGGTTCATGAAGCCTGCAGGTTTCATGACTTGATATGTGCCAGTTCGGCCAGACACAATTCATATACACACGCTCCGTCACGCCGCCATTGTGAAAACGAGGAAAAAGTTCGGGTTGAGTTTTTTTAATTTAATCATCAGTCATGCGGTCAACACATGTTCGCCTAAGTAACGATGATTGAAGGGACCTTGGGTTATCCCACAGTTTAGCAGTGATGCGATACTCCATCGTCTTTGTAGTTGTGCGTTGAAAAACCACATTTTTCCTTTTGTGCCTATGAATTCGTTCCCCACACCAGCTCACGCAACACCTATTTTAAGTCTAGACGGGGCAATTTGCAAGTCCAACTTCAAAGAAAAACAATCGTGCGTTCTCTGTCGCCAAAATGTGATGGGAGGCACCTGCACTGTGTTGGAATAGGTTTCCTCGATTTCCAATTTATCAGTCTGAACAAGGTGTGATAATAAACATGGGTTAGTTGCATGCTTTTGGTTGATTTTAGAAGAAAACACAGAGGTTTGCGAGTATACGGCATTGGCTGAGTTTTCCCTGAGAAATGCAGCCAGCAAATTTGGAATAGCATTATAAAAATGCTAGAAGCTTTACAGGCAATATCTAATTTGTTTGCCGAGGTTTGTGAATAGTGGGTCAAGGCGGTCTCATGGCTTTTTTGGTGGTACATAGAGGGCTCACTCTGAACGACTCAGCCGAATCGAACTGTCAGCTGGCATCGATCAGGTGAGCGACAATCGCACTGCTCAAGTGCCTGACCATTTTGGTTCACAGGCGGCTTGGTTTGTGCTCACGAATTCCATCGGGCACGCACTGCATCGTGCGACTCGCAGTTTGGTGAGTTCTGGCAAACAAACGGTGGGCACGCGCTCGGTCGAGTGCTAACTGTTTTTGTTTGTAAGAAAGCGTGAGCACATTGTTCTGGAAAAATTACTGACCTATTCCCCTTAACAAATGTTATATGGACGGTATTTTTATCGCTTTTGAATGTGATAAGACAGTGACGGACATTCTTCAGTCTTCTAACCCTACTTCCACTGCCCTGGAATTTTCTGATAGCAAGTTCCATCTGCTGGAGGTACCGCTGGCGAGAGGGTGGACTAGTTAAGAAGGGTACACATCGTAAATCAGCGTGAACAGATCAGCACGCAAATTTCCAGGTTTGTTGATATGAAGTATTAAAGAAACATGATCAAATGTCTAGTATATAGAGCCCAGCCAATCTGTACCGCTAATAAACTGGATGCCGAACTGCAACATGTCTGCAAAAGCCGGATGCAAGAGGGAACAAAGAATAGGGACAGTCATAGTGTCAGAGGTTTGGTAGACAATCAGTGGATTTATTGCTGGATAACGTTTCACTTTTGACACAAAAGCTTCGTCAGGCCAAGTGAGTAAGCAAGCAGGTTGGTCGGGTTCTAAGACAGTCAGGAATTAATCCGTGAGATTTCTTATGACTAACCGACTTGCTGGGTATCGGTCTGAAGTTCCTGTTTGTTGGTTAATGGGGATGACTAACACCTACGATAGATTGGTTGGAGGGGATTGTCTTCGTGTCGAACGTCTAAGACATAATCTTCTTGGAGGTCGTTCACCTGTTCATCAAGGGGTGCCCGGACGACTGGTCTGGGGTTTGAAGTGGTGAATTGAAACTTGGATTCTGTACGTTTAGACCCAAACCGTTTTGTTGATCACTGCACACCAGCTCGTGGCTAATCTGAAGCCGCTCTCCACACACTTGCTAGTTCTACACTCTCTATTTCCGGACTGCCTCAAAACCCGATCATCCTGCTTACTTACTCGCTTGGTCTGACGGTGCGAAACGTTGCCCAGGAATAAATCCACAGATTGTTTACCAAACCTCCTTGAAACGATGACCACCCAAACGATCCCAACCATTTTCCAATTGACTGAATAGGGAGAGTATTTAGTTAACAAAAGCAAGAAATTCAGACCACGACACAAAGCAGATCACGAGCAGACAAATTAGACTCCAAGTGAGATAATTATGGATAGCCAACCAGATCAGAGTTAACAGATGATCCTCACAAACTACATAAGCGCAAGTACGACGAGAGCTACCCACCCAATTGCACATTGGTTGTACCGAAGCACAATTCGCCTGTGCAAAGACCATCAGCAGATGAAGATAGCATGTGATTGGTGGGTCCTCTGGTTGGTATATAACTGGCGAGCATCTCAACACTAGCATGCTTCATCCGGCACATTGATGAACCGTAAAATTTAGCGCATGCCATGCATCCGAAGGGTAAGAATCAGCAAGCAACCACGGCAAAAGGTCATCATAATGATTCTCTCAGTGCTCCCTATATTTGTCCAATTTTTTCCGGATAAGCTACAACGGCAAGCAGGTCAACAAAAGGCGGTTGTATACAGCAACCCTAGATGGAGCGAAAAGCAAACGCCTACTACAAACTGGCTCACCAAAATGAAAAAAATATGAAGACTTCCCATCATGGAAAAAGCCTATATGATGGCCACCTATTATGGATTGTATTGCTTCAGGATCGTCATACTAAGATGGGAAAAGGGAAAGTTAGGTGAACACATGTTCGCGGAGTATGCTTTCTGATCGACATAGATCATATGTAGGACCAGACGTTATAAAGGTTATGGTAAGGCAGACACGGAGGTAGGAAAATACAGAGGACGGAGGCCTCCTATCACCCACATAATTGTCTGCATCAGGTGAAAGATGTGCACCTGTGTATGCTATCTTCAGTCGAGGAGGAATGGAAAGAATGCACAAATTTTGGGTGAGTCGGGTAAGAGTAGCCTTGGCGATCACAACACTATGTAATCTAACTGCTTTGGCATCTGGGACACGATCCGAAATGCATTGATCCAATCAAAGACCTCCCTTATCGATTAACTAGGGCTTGCCTTGGCCGGCTCGCGTTAATTAGATTTGGTTCTATATATGGTTCGTACCGACCAGATAACTGCACACAAGCGTTCCCTTTCCCAATGACCTGTTTTATCGTGAAAAACCACACGAAGCTGCTCCTGTTTCAACAAATGTCAACGACGTATTGGTCAGTCCCAGTAGTATTTTTGTATGTAAGATCAAACTGAGAACCGAACGAAGCCCGTCATGCGTCAACCAAGGGAGATATCGTCAAGATAGTCCAGAATACGAGCGCGTGCGACTACACGTTCCTGCAGTTCCGTAAGCAAATGAGCATGACGGTCACGATAGTCATGCGTTCCTTATCAGTTTGCACATAAGCACGAACTAATTAAAATAAGCCCCATATACACACTAACTTGGTTTTGACAGGAGAGTCGAATGAATCCAGTTGAATCTTTAGCTTATGACAGCCCGCTTAGGTTCAAGTAGACTTGACAAATACGCCTACAAGATAAGTTCCCCAAAGAGTGAAACCAGTCGTGGGCTGTCGACCTTATGAGTAGTGTGTTATGTCCAAACAATTACAATTAGTCTCTTTTTACAAACTTATTTTAACCATCTGCTCGGAAGGGTACTGTATGTTGTACTGAATGGTGTACTTGGTTATCGAGCACGCTAACCCACGTAGTAACCAAATGGGAAGCCTTAGACCTACGGTAGACCATTATTCAAACAGGATGATAATGTTCGATCAGCAAGAGTGAAACAAAACACGGGCAATGGGCAAGATAACAATACGGATAGTGATGATCAGTTCGTAATTAGTACGAATGTGCAAGTACAAGAGGGTGGTGTACGTACATAGCATGTGTGTGTGAGGGTGAACGGACGTGTGCGTTGTTTTGAGAATAAAGCTGTTGCTAAGTTACCACAGGAACATCACAGATATATCGGTGTCTACTAGACCCGAACACCAATGGCTCACGTCCGAATGTTGGGTATTTGACAGGAACATCACAGATATATCGGTGTCTACTAGACCCGAACACCAATGGCTCACGTCCGAATGTATGGGTATTTGTATGTGTGTGTGTGCGAAAAAAAGAGATAAAGGAGGCAGGAAAAAGTGCTCTGTCAGAACGCGAGGTAAGTAAATAGTCCGGCAGTGAAAAGCGGACTGGAATGGATTTACCGTAGATATGTGGTCGCTGGGATGGGTTTTGGTAGTAGGCGAACCGAAATCTAGCTACCACTAAGACTGGCGGGGCGGGAGTAGAGAGGTAACCACCATCAGATCGGTAACGTGAGGCTTAGCTAATAACCGGTGGGTGTTAAATGGAGGGAGGGAGGGGTAGCCATCGCCCAAAACTGAAAAACTACAATATCGGGCTCTGGCGCTCGGACTATCGTGGCTGTAGAAAAATAGAAGCAATGTGTACAGATAGAAAAAAACTTGAACAAGGGAAACAACATTTGGATCACGCATCCCTGGCTCAATTCATGAGAGATCACACGTAACCACCTCCGCTTTACGATTGCAGCGGTACAGAGGAAAGTGTGCAAGTGCAGCTAGTCAAATGTAATGTGAATCTAGAAATTTGAGGTGAGGGTGCAACCCGATGGGGTCATGTAAGGTACAGAGACGCTCAGAATCATACACCATAAACAGCGGCATAAGAGCCACATCCGGTTAGTACGGAATTTGATTCTGCATGTATTGGATCACATCGTATGATTTTCCGCGCCAATGCGCTAGGCATGTTCGCAACACACGTCTATAGCTGGCGGCCGCTTCACGATCGGTCATTTCCGGCGCGAAACGTTGTCGAAGCAATTTTATCGTCTGACCTCGGAAACAAGGCAGCCCCGTGTCCAGCATCAGTGAAACCAGGGTAACTATGGCCTCTTGGTAAGGTCTCACAGCCAAGTAGGCTTGGACGGAAAGGGATTCGAACCACCGATAGGGAGGGCTTTCCAACCTTCCGCCCATGATCATCCACATTTCCTTGCTGAGTTTGATGTCTGGTTCCCAACCGAAGTTTCCGCCCGGGCTACTTTCGAACATAAAACCGAAATCTGTGGAAAACAGAAAAATGAGAAACGTTAGAAACGTGTCATACATGAATGTCGACGTGGTCTAGTGGAGCGGATTGCCACAAGCTGATCTGGCGATCTGGATCGTGGCAGCCACTCGTTTGTCGCTACTAATCTCTAACAAGTGAGCTCAGTATGTGGTTGCTCCTGTAAGGGGAATCACCGACGGAAAAAGAAAACC